TATATATATATATATATATATAATATAAATGATTCATAGGGAATAGCTATTAAGTTTAACTACTCAGGTTTTCTACTCACTATTTTTTGATTCTCTTTACCGTGTCTATTTGTCTGAATTTAATTGAATACCTTCGAAGAAATCACATTTGAAAACTTTAGGTATCAAGAAAAATGGGAAAAAAAAAAAAAAGTTCAATTATCCAATTAAAAATATTAATTATTTATGTTAATTTTCCAACTTAAACATACTTTAATTTTTAATTTGCAAAATTAAAATGATTCCTTTACAGGAAAAGTTTGGTAATTACTTTGACGATCTCGGCCTTACTAGCGCCGGTGGCAATGAACACACACATGCGAGCGTTATTAATGACCGGCATGGTGAGGCTAATTCTACTGGGTGGTGGTTTTGGCGCGTTCAGCTCCCATGTGACCCACATGTTTTCGTCGTCGAGGGCCCGATGACCCGGAAAGAGCGAGCACGTATGCCCGTCCGGACCCACACCTAACAGCAGGCAATCGAATCTCGGTAATCTGTCCGGCGGGAAGAAGAAGGCCATTTTTTTAATGTAATCCTTCGCCGCGTTCTCGGCTACAAATATATATAAATAAATAAATGAATAAATAAATAAATGGCAAATAGAAACAATTATAAAAACATGTGTATAATATAAAATCATATAACAAGGTATATGGATAATTAAAATATAAATAAAAAAATTATAAAATGATAATAAATTATAATAAACAAGATAAATATATAATAGATAAATATGTAAATATATAATAAGTAAAGAGTAATTAAAGATTACATGGATTATTATATATACTTATTAATAGTAGAAATAGATTACGGAGGAAAATCAAGTACCATTGAGTTCTGGATCAACTTTCACGAATTGCTCCTCGGTGACGGGCACTTTTCCAATCAAGCAACTTTTGTAGAGGCCAAAATTGGACTCGGAGTCGTCCAGGGGCACCACTCGTTCATCGCAGAAAAAGAAACGCCACTTGCTCCAGTCAGTTGCAATGTTAGGCAGAGACTTGGCCAGCAGTTGTACTACTGAACCACCTATACAACAAATTAAAAATAATTTCCACGATTCTTTTTTCAGTTTATTTGATATTTATATATATTTACATGATATTTATGAGAACAGTCCGTGTAATTTTCTAATAATAGTGGTCGACAAAATTTCACTTCTCTTATACTAAAATCTAATCTTTCCTCAAAAATCCGTTTGCCAAATTCATGAGAAGGTAGAGAGTAATATGCATTTAAAAATTTTACAAATTAATATTTTCCAATAACAATATACACAATATAACACAGTGAAGTCACTTAAAATGCTCTTAGTTGATTTTCTGTCGTATTTAGGACCAATTTCATCATCTTCGATCTGATCGATCAAGTGTCAACCGTGATTGATTAATTCTGGTCAGTTCTGCTCAACGACAAATGTTATTGGCCAATTTCAATGGAATAATTAATCTAAATTAATTTAAGATTACGAAATTGTGGCGCGGTTCCACGGTCTCTGATTAGCTTGATCAGCCGATTACATGTAAGAATTATCAATTGTAAAATGTACTTTACATAGAATATAGAATAGAAGATTTCCTTTAGCATACATAAAAAGCCAGGAAGGGGAATAGGCTTACAAAAGCTCTGCTTAACCACGCATCCATCCATACCTATTCCTAACATATTTTCCTATTCTAAAACCTACACTTTTTCTTATACAATATTTACTTGTCCTACTCTCTTCGCTCTTCACTTCCTTATCTTCATACATTTTATCTTTACACATTTATACATTTGTCTATTCTTAATTACCTATTTACTCCCTTATACACTATTATATACTTATCTTTACCTATTCTTTGCCTTCATTCCTTCCTCTCTCTCTCTTTTTCTTTTCTTTTTCTCTCTCCTTCCACAATTTCTTTAATGTCTTACCTTTGTTTCTCTCTAAATTATTTTCTTCATCCTATCTATAATTTCTTCTTTATCCTTTCAAAATGTATTTTACATAAATAAATTATAACTTGCAGAAAATAGACAAAGGAAAATAAAATATATAGTTTTAAGTCTACTGCAGTTGGTAAAGGTCCATCTACAATGAGAGTAGTAAGTCGTAAGCCGTAAGAAATTGACCAATCAGAGTCAAATATAAGAAAAATATATAATCGACTATGAGTGGGCAATTTCTTACGGCTTACGACTTACTACTCTCATTGTAGATGGACCTTAAAAAGTTGATTCCTTAAATCTGTAGTCTCTGAAGTGAGCCAAATAAGCTAAAAAGGCTGGTGAGACATTGCTTGGTTGGATACTAAGGATGCCACTTCCTAGTATAATCATTAATCACGCAGTACATTTCTCTACCTATGTCTTAAAGATTACCCCTACTTATGCTTATTGTTAGACATAAATATAAATGATTCGTAGGGAATAGTTACTAAATTTAACATGGTTTTCTACTCATTATAAAAGGCTTGAAACAAAAACAAATCATTTAACTTAAAGAAAAGAACTACCCAAACAACAAGTTGTTGTTAGCACAATGAATAACTTTATAAAAAGGGATATATTATGATTATAAAAAATTAGAGTCTTTAAGATAAATTCTATTATGTTCACAGAATAAAAGAAAACCACATAAGGATCAGCTTAAATTGCCCATTTAACAAAATCATTGTTGACCGGTGTAAAATTAAAGTTCTATATAAATCATTTGTCTTCTTACACTTCATAATACTGTAACTATTGATTAAAAACAAAAACGATAACTTATTCGAATTAATCTTGTTTTGTTTCACGCGTATCATAATATTAAGATTTCCATAGAAATGTATGATATTTTGATAATCGACTGAAAATCAAAGACGCGCAGAGACGCGACATATAAACATCGTCATTCCAATGATCGATCATACGATTCATACGACCCATACTTTTTTCCCCCTCAACTACACTCTTCTGCACTTTTTTCGCGAGATTTCCGAAAACGTATAAATTTTTTGCGAGAAATTGGTTTCGAAAAAACGATACCTACTTCATTTTTCAATAAACAATTCCTAAGTATCCCCGAACAATTTTTCGATAACTCTTTAACGATTCACTTTTAATTTATCGTATCTAATAAAATTTTGCAACTTATATAGATGTAAAATATATGAAAGCACATCAAAACATCATAATTTAAACTTGCTAAAGTACAGTTTTCCGCATCGAAGACAGGCGAAGATCGGAAGTTTTACGGAAAACGCGTCATACCTAGTAGCGAATAAACAAGTTCGAGGCTCGTTTTCGCGCGCGACAGCAATGGGAATGTAAAAATCGAAGAGTCATTCTCGTATGACTACAGCCTGTGAATCTGCAGATAATCTTATCGAAACTTATTAAGGACATAGGTATGATAGAAACGTGGGAAAAAATGGTAGAGGAAGCTCGGTGAAAACGCGAGCGGCAGCTAATAGCAAAGCAGAGCGCGCGACAAAATGAAAACAGAGTTGTATTAAAGAATTTGCGGAATCACCTGACACGCCGAAGCGAAAGATCCGGTCGTCGCGCGAGATCGCGTCGTCGGCGGCGCGGGCGACGAGGTTGGAGATCCGGGAGAGTAACTGCTCCTCGTCGGTGGCCACCACTACCTCCGTCATTGCGTGCGTTTCTTCGCGTGTGCGGCCGAGCGAAAAGCGAGGTTATCCCAGTAGCATGCACCTTCGAACGCGACGGCAGCGACGACCGATCACGATTCACGACCGATCTACAATGGCCGCATTTGGTCATTGGGTGCTGGACACTGTGATCGTGGACTCGGACCGGCTGGACGAAGTGTTAAGCCGACGACACACGGTTGCGCGATTTGATCTAATAAATTACTACTAGGGAAATGCACAGTAAAAGGAAAGAGAAAGAAAAAAATAAGATTTGAGTGAAAAGGAAATGAGGAATTATAAAAAAATTAAGAAGAAAAGAAGAATAAAAAGAAGAGTAAAAAGAAAAAAGTAGATTTCAAAAAAATTCTGAACGTAAAAAGAAGAAAAAGAAAAACAAGAAGATTCTGAATGCAAGAGGAAAAAGAGTGAAAAGAAGAAAAAGTAGATTTCAAAAAATATTCTTAATATAAAAAGAAGAAAAAGAAAAACAAGATTTTGAAAAAAATTCTGAATGTTAATTCAAGAGAAAATTCAAAAAGAAAAAGAAAAACAAGATTTTGAATTTACAGAATTTTCTTCAAAATCTTGTTTTTCTTTTTCTTCTTGCATTTAGAATCTTCTTGTTTTTCTTTTTCTTCTTTTTATATTAAGAATATTTTTTTAAATCTTTTTCTTCTTTTTACTCTTTTTTTTATTTTTCTTTTCTTAATTTTTTTTTTATAATTCCTCATTTATATTCAAAATTTTCTTTAAAATCTTGTTTTTCTTTGTCTTTTTTTTATATTTAAAACATTTTTTAAAATCTACTTTTTTCTTTTTACTGTTTTTTTTATTTTCTTTTTCTTTTTCTTTCTTCTTTTTCTTTTTTACTCAAATCTTATTTCTTTCTTTCTCTTTTCTTTTGTGCATTCCTAGTAAGTTCTTTATAGAAAGATTTTGAAGAAGATTCTGAGTGTAAAAAGAAAAAAAAATCAAAACAAAAAGGTAATTCTGAATACAAAAAGAAGAAGATAAACAAGAATTAATTTTGAGTGCAAAAATGCAAGCGAACGAATATTTTTAGCGTATAATTGAACATGAAGAATCGCACATGTGTCATTGGCTTAAGATTGTACTACCAATCCGAAGCTGCTTTTATATGACGATTGGTCCAATCCCACATTAGAATGTAATTAGGTTATCTAAAAACTTTAAAAATTCTTTCTGAAAAAGAAATATCGTAGTCTTTTGTATTTCAATTGCACCTAATTAAAATGTTAATATATATTATATTAAACATGACATATTGAATATCATGTTTATACAACGCGCGCCAATCGTTCTCCATATTCTCTCTCACATTAAATTTGGCGGGAGAATATTTCGGATTACAGTACCTAAACATTAGGTTTCGAAAGCGTGCGTCTGAGAGGAGACAGATATTTAACAGAAGAAATGAAAGAAGGTGAGAAATAAAGTCGACATGGAGCCTGTCGATTCGTCAGTGGAATCTGCCAATAAAGGGTGATTATTATTTAACAGAAATTATCTTGAATGTTCTTGATATATATAATTCTTAATATCAATTCTACAACTCGTTCCCTTTCTGACTTGCAAAGGAACGTCCGTACGAAGGAGAATGTTTGCGAGATCTTGGAATTGGCTACGATTAAGGAGTCCGATTTAAATGCCGTGACGCAGTGTCTGTATCCCATGCAGGATCACCAGGTCGACAACTTGATACTGCTGGAGGTAGACGAGCACGTATTAGGAGGACTAAGCGAGGGGGATACGTACGTTAATTCTTTCACATAATCTCACTTGCGAGACTATCGTTTCGATGATCAAGTAGGCCCTCGAAGAACCTCTTTGAATGTTGACATTTGTAATTCTTATTCTGCAGAGTAAAGTGATTGTGAATAATTTTGTGACGATACAGAATATCATTTCGCGGTAACAAGCATGACCATGCTGTGCTGTGCACGCAAACTCGGACGTACGAGGTCAGGGAGGCAGAGATATCCAACTCGTGGTTGCTGGTACCAAACCTGAAGCTGGGCAAGGCGACAGGCGGAGAAGCGGCTGAGAGAGCTGTAGAGAAACGTAACGTGAAGAAGATATTTAACTCGTACTACGAGGTACTTGTAGCATTCTATAATGTCTGGGCTGCACTTCCACTTGGTCTTTGCAATATTGGAATCATTTAATTTCATTCTCGTTGTTCACAAATGTCAAACAAGAATAAATGATGCTTGCGAGTGCCAAACGGAACGCACTCTTGAGTTCTGAATTGACGAAAATATCTGATATAATAATATTATAATAATCTTATATTATATAATATAATAATCTTTATAATATAATATTATATAATATTATATTATAATAATCTTTCGTGTTAAAGGTGAAAGAAACCAAGCCCGATCTGGCACGTTTGTCCACTCTGCTCAACTCGTCATCCTTCAATGGACTGGAATACGAATCTACAGTAGATCGAAAGGCATTGTACAGTTGGGAAAAATTACAAAATGAGTTACAGGCCAGCGATCATGAGTTACAACAGGCTCTATCGGACTTCCTGATAGCCGACATAGACGGTTTGTAATAAAAATCTCTTTATTATATTATTACCCTTTAGAGAAATTTAATGCTGTAAGTATTTAATTACTTATTTTGACTAATAATAATGCTTTTAACAAAATAAGTAACTAATCACTAATCAATTTAATACTTTAGCATTAAATTTCTCTGAGAATATTACATATTATAACAATTACATTTTATAACATTTCATGTAATATGAATTATTCTAATAAAAAAAATAATTAAGTTAAACAATACATTTTTACAAATATGATCTAATGCAATATCCTCCGAGAAATTTATTGCTAAAGTATTTAAATTGGTTAGTGATTAGTTACTTAATTTTGTTGCTTGTATTGCTGATGTAACAAATGAGGGAAAAAAGAGCTAATATGGCCGAGGCTCGATGGTTGGCCCAATAATATTCTTAATTTTTAAATCTGTTAAATTTCAGCTATCGTAAACCGCGGGCCGATTACTATCCATCTTTAACGTAAACATAACTCAAAGCTGAAATAATGTATCTGTTAAATTGATCTCTGATATGGCAATGGTGGTAATATGTATCTTAATACACAAAATTTTTTTTATTCAGGCTATTTGCGTCTCGTATCATTTGACGTAGAAGCAAGGAGCCTAAATCTGATGTTGGATTATTTTGGAGAACAGTCTTGGGAACTCGACGAGGTGGATAAAGAAAATACATACGAATGCTTAAACGAGCTTATTCATGAGCCGGTGTTTGATGTTATATTCAAAAGATATACGGAAGTGAGCACAAAGAAGAAGAATAATGGAGATCCATTGTACAAGTATGTACATTATTAATATAGCGATTAGTGGGAAAGAGTGACCCCCCAAAAAGGTGGTTTTTTCGCCCGTTTTTTTGAGCCCTCGATTTTGGGACTGGATTGTGTGTCGAATAGTATCTTATAATAGATATTAATCAGAGAAGTTTCAGGTTGAGGTGACAATTGTTATCACAGCTGGAGGGGAGGGGGTGGGATCACTTATTACATCTCTACGCGAAAACTCGATTTTTTTACATCCAAAACGAGCATCATTTACGTAAAACTGCGATCAACCTTCATCGACTGGATCAACCTTCATCGACTGGATCAACCGGAGACACCTCGCAGACCTGTGATAATTCCATAATGAACTTGGATTTCATCCCTCCTCCAGCTCTGATAACAATTGTCACCTCAACTTGAAACTTTTCTACAATTAAGGGGTCTCACCACTTCTGAGGCCTTAAAATGACACCTAAGTTTGGGATTTTTTGTGGATAACTAGATAACTTTATTTAAAAGCTGTTTAGAGGATATTGTTGTACATACATATATAAAAACTAAAAAAATATTTTATTGATTTTATGTATAAAATGGCGGCTCAATGGCCTACTTGCGAAATCCCTTTTTTCTGTTTTTTCAAATCGGTGTACAGGATTTCATGCACACGGTTTGATCTTGAAAACACAAAGAATTTTCATTATCTACATATTAGAAACTATAGAAGTATGTAGGGGTTTTTTAAAATATTGATTTTTCTCAAAATGGCAGCTATTTTACGAAAAACTTGTAATGACAAAAATACGAACTTCTCGTAAAAATTGCTGCCTATATAATATTTTGAAAAATCCCTACGTACTTCTCTAGTTTTTAATATGTAGATAATGAAAATTCTTTATATTTTGTTCAAGGCCAAACCGTGTGCCTAGAATCCTGTACACCGGTAGAAAAAAAAGCTTTTTTGGACATAAGAAAAATAAAAAAATATTTTTTTTGTTTCTTATATATGTACAATAATGTCCTCTAAGCATTTTAAATAAAGTTATCCATTTACCCACAAAAAATTCCAAACTTAAGGTATCATTTTAAAACCTCAGGGGTGGTGAGACCCTTTAATGTCTCATTTGGCACACAGTTCAGTCAAAATCGAGGGCCCAAAAAAACGGGCAATTTTTTGGGTCACTCTTTCGTACAATAAGAATTTACATTTTTCAAATATAATGTCCTGGCAAGGTTTGACGAGGAAAGATGCTGTGCAATGATAGCAAAGATTCTTCTTGCTGCCTCTCCAGTCACCGAGTACAAAGAATTCATGGAAACGTGGAACATTGGAACTCCTGAAAGTACGGAATTACTGAGTTATGAAATCGTAATCGTGTAGAGTCTTTTGATGAGTTTTTTTTTAATTTATTTAATTTTTTCGCATTTCAGAGATGCAGCCAAAAGAAAAGTATTTATGCGGATCGGCCCTTGTAATATACAATACTTCGAAAATGCAGAAGGAAATCGTGGCTTGTCCGGAGGCGGACTTACCCAACAATATTCATGATAGACTGAATGAACTGTTTGAAATCAAAGCTAAATGGACCGTTGAAGAGATAACACCTTATATTACGTAAGTGAAAGAAAGTACAAGGGTATCATTTAATTTAAATCTTATTTATGTAATCGTTTCTTTTATAGGTGTTTTACAAAAGGTGCGATGAATGTTAATGCACTTTTAACAAAGTATGCCAGATGTTCAACAAATAACGGAATAAAATATTACGGGGCAAAACACGGCAAGTGATACAGCGATTACATTTGTGGTATGCATTCAATTGTCTTACAATAAATACCGATACATGTGTCGTTGATTAATTATAATGCCAGAACAACATTTCAGAATTGTCTATAAATGTTGAAATGATACGCATAATTTATTTAGCTTGTGATCATCGTGTATATATATATATATATATATGTATATATATACACGTATATATAGTTTTACATTTACACAATTTATAAATATTTTTGATACGAAATAAGACTATATATATAATTTAATTTTTTCATTTATTACCTAACTGATGTAATATAGCGACATTATCAGTGATACATTATTGTTATCACTCATTCGTCAAACGATCATAATTTTAAATTACATTATTAATTTAATATTAATATTAATTTTATTGGCCGCAAATAACTTTTGTTATTCCCGTTGACTATAATTTGTATTATAAAAGCATCTCACTAAATCAATTCTTTATAATGCCTGACGTCACTGATAATTACAGTTGAATATAATATGCTTCAAAAAAATGTAATAGATCGAATAATAATAGATCATTTTTAAATTGGATAATTTAATCTCATCTCATTAGGAGTTATTATATGTGTCAAATAATAAAATTTATATAAATACGAGTTTCAAGAAGGAAGAATGAATTTAAATTTGCTTATATATACGAATGATGTTGGAAAATCTCGTAAAAGTATAAATAAATATTTCGTATATATAAATATTTTTATACATTTAAAAACTCGAAGAAATTTATGTACGGAAAAATGCTTTTACTAATTTTTGTGTAAAATAATACAATGAAAAAGAAAAATAAAAGAAAAATTTTAATAAATAATTTTTAATTTGAAACAAATAATTGTAATTCTTATAATAAAATTATGTATAACGTACATTAGAACATAGAGTGGCCAAATTGATTTAATTAACAAATGGTCTTTTTTTTCGTATAGAGAGTTATGTTTTCAGTATATTCAAATTAAAGAAATATTTGATGTTTTCATAAATAAAGAAAAAGCACCATCAATAATGATAAATATTAATTATTTCCTGGGATAGCAATTCCTTTGACAGGAAACTTACAACACAGTATTCGGTTCTTTCGAGCATACAAGCACACCTTGGCACATGAATCTTTAAAGCCACATACCATTTAAAATATCAAATTTACAACTCGCAAACTACAAATATTTCACGTTCATGCCAATTGTAACAATATATATGGATAAGATGCATCAGTTACAACGTGATTACAATGCGTCTGAATGCGAAGAACATTTCTCACAGATATTCCCCAAGATGTTGAATCTTCCCCCAGGAATACAAAAAGCACACATGTAAAAAAATGGAAACTTTTTTTTTCTTTTCTTTATCTACAAAGTATTCGATCGCGGATCTTGTAAATGCACCGTACATATGAAACACATCACTGCAATATGCGTCGATGAGCTATTAATGGTATACTTATGCAAAAATGGAACTTGCTAAAAATATCTCGTAGGAACTGACTCGTCGCTGAAAAATGGTTTCTTTTTTTTTGCTTTTTATAAAACACTTCGTATATAAATGTCGCACAAACTATGTTATAAACCATTAAATAATTATTTAATAGGAATAACACACATTCAGTCCCTCTTTTTACATTATTAATTACTGCCCATAATATATTCCTAGGTAGGAAATAGACTATGAAATTACGAAACTTGCGTTAAAAACAACATCGATTATGTTTCTACAGAAAATTATATTTTTCGCGCAATATTGCTCGAAGAGAGAGAGAGAGAGAGTGAGAGAGTGAGAGAGAGAGAGAAAATATTGTTCGCATTTAAATATATATTTATAAACATATACATACACACCTCTAAAATACGTTTGTATGTACGTATACATTATCAGCTGATTATACGAGATGACGTAGATAAAATCGAGAAATTGTCAAAAGTAAAAAAAACGCGAATGTGCGATGCTGGAATAAATACGAACGGCGTGTAAATAAATTTGATGACCTTTGCCTCATTTATTAATGTTAATAAAATCACTGGCATCACTATGCTCCTGTCTTCATGACAAAACGCAACTTTGCGTCACCTCGTACGTGCCTCATCGTATCGGATGTCCCAATTAGAGTGCAAGATTTAATTTTTTAATAAAACACTTATTCGAAGTGTTGATAGTTTCATTTTAGTATAATTGCGATTAAGTGTGGAACACAATATCCAACAAATGTCTCTTATACTCTTGCTCTTTTGACGAAATTTTCAACCAAACTTGATTTTAATAAATCTTTTATAATATCCCGCTAGTGGAAGGAATTGCTTAATATTTTTAAACATTTTAGGCCTAGGAAATTATCGTACGGCCTCTAATTTTTTAGGATCTAACTCCGTCTTTACTTGATTTGGGATCCATGTGTCCCAAATGTGAGCGGCTGCAAGATGAAAATGACGCTCAATTCAAATCTCGTTGGGACATCCGATGCATAACAAATAGTAACGATAATCCTAAATCCTTTGGAGTTGTGATTTCATTATAGCTGTGACTTAAATTCTCTAGTGATAAACTTCCTACTCTACCATTATGACTAACGAATACTGGCTTATCCATAAGTACGCGTAGATAAAATGTCTGCATTTATTTAAATGTTAAAAAGAGCTGAAAAGCACAAATACTAGATTCTCCCGTTGTTAAAGTTATCGACGATGTAGATGTGTACACACGGGTAACTTGGTAGTATATCGTCTATTTATATACACGTGCTAAGCAATGATCCGAAGTAGTCCTGAAATCAATACGTTTAAAGTTAATATAATTCGTCATCTGAATAGTCGTCCCGTTTGTGCGAGGCGCATTTCACAGATGATGTTTTACCTCAATTTAAGGCACCTCGTTGTTAGCTGTCGTTCACCGAAGTCTCATTTGCGACTTTACTGTTGGCCGTAAACACAGTCTGTTGATTGACGCCCGTCGTGACCGACTGACTCGGATGTATGACGGGACTCGCAGTCTGTACCAAATTGCAAGTGACTGGCACCATAGGCAGACAATTAATAGAATTATTCATAGGCCCCGCGTTACACGTCAGTGAGGGTCTCTTCCTCTCTAAACTATTAGTCGCCATTTGCCTTCTCGCCGTTGAGTTACGTTCAAGACTGTTAGTTACTATATTGTGTCTTCTTTCTAAGCTGCTGCCGGAATTGAGATCGGATTGGCTTCCCTGCGTAACAGTCAGATATTTCAATTTAGCATCTGTCTCGTCATTCATTACTAATTTTACTGAGAAATTACAATCAGGATTGCCACAAAAAATAAATTTTGAAATTCCCTGACTTTTCTATGATTTCCAGACAACAGTGGAAAATTTTCCATGATTAATATCAAATATATAATTTTAAATTTTAATGTTTAAAAGATACATATTACAATAAAAAGGTAACTTATATTATTAGAAGCAACATAAATTTAGAAGTTTAATAACATAATATAATCCCAAATGCAAATTCAGGCCAACAAATTATGAACATCATCGCTTTGACATTGTTGCTTTGATATTGATGTTATGCATTAAACTGCAAAAAAAATTCCTTTGGTATAACTGAATTTTCCGTTGCTTGGGGATCAGACAAAAATTCAGTGATAAAAGCAAAATGATTCCTATAGACATTTCTTTAATGTCACTAAATATTTAGAATATTTTCGATTGCGATAACAGAGAGAAGTCTCGAATAAAATCCTAATTTTCGAAAATTTTTTCGATTTTCATACAAAATCATTTCATTCTGTTATTGTCTATTGTTTAATTTTGAAAAAGAATTCTCAAATAAAAAGTAATACATACAAAAACATTGTACAAAAATTATTGAGTTTCGTCGATAACAAATGATCCGTTTAGAAAATTGTGAGCAAAGTTCAAAATTCCAGGTTCTTTTATATCTTTCCTTGACTTTTCTAGGATTTCCTGGTTTTCCAGGTCTGTGGCAACCCTGACAATGATCTCTCATGAGATGCTTAACTTACCGGCGAAGATCGGTCTACGGACTGACCCATTCTGTGCAACAAATCACCGCTTTGGCTCTGTCTGAAGGTCGATCCTTGTCGTTCGGTCGACTGACTTCTCCTCAGGAACTGCTCGCCCGACTGACTCGAGCGAATGCGATTCTCGGGCGTGGATTCCCGCGTACGGTTAACAACATCGCACTGCCTTTGGCAAATCTGACTGTCCACGTACGGATAACGAATGCGGATGGAATCGATTACGTCTAAGAGATTCTTCGCGTCCATGGCCAAGATATGAGCCGCGGAAAGCATTCCCCTTAAAGAAGAATCGTAATGTTAATCAATTACTCTCGATGTCTCTCGGTGTTAATCTTTGCTCTGATAATCCGAAAATAATAATTACTTTCGATATTCAGCATCCAACGTAGTGGCGCTGTAATTTTGCGCCAGTTTCATGGCGGCGACGAGCTCCGCCATATCCTTGCTTAACACCTTGTGTGCCATTTCTACTTCGCGATGCGCGGATATTGGCAATATTTCTACCAGAACGTCCACGGAGGATAGTAATGCTCTTAATTCGATACCTACTCTACGCACTAGGTCTAAATACTGATCAGCCTTGCTCTGTTGAACACCTGCAACAATTCACATTTTTCTTTAATGCATCACAATGTATCTTTCGATAATTATTATTTAAGTACTATATATTTAACTTATACAGAGTGTCCCGAAATTCGCGAATCAAAATATCGTAACAAGAAAAATTAAGTAAAAAAGTTATTTGTAAATTTTTATTTCAAGTAATAGTTTTTAAGATATAAAGGTTTAAATTTAGCCAATTATAGATTAGTACTCGCGTGAAGTGCGCGACCACTAACACTATCGACGCGTTCACGGACATATTTCCGTTTAATCGTAAT